GGGGCCCAGCGCCCTGGGTGGCCAGGGTCAGGTCCGAAACCGCGCGCCCGAATTTATCGCGTGGAGCAGCGCGCAACATTACATTGCCCGCCCGAACAGGATGAGTGAGCAATGCCGGCGACTCTGCTTCATGGCCCTCAAGTCGAATCCAAGCCCGCGGTGCAGCCAACTGGGGGCCGCAGGCGCCATGCAGACATCCACCGCGCAGCTGAACTTGCCCGCGGTTTTGACGCCCTCCTGCATTCCGCCTCCCAGAGGCAAACCGTCAGAGGCCCCGGCCCCAGGCAATCTCACTCGACAAGTCACGCGAGAGACCTCCCTCATCAAGGCAGCCACTGATCCAGGGTGGAGTCTGCGGCCCCGCATCGACAATTGAAGCTGCCCGTGACCCATCGCGTCGAAAGCGGTCGCGATGCCCCCTGTTCCCAGAATCAGCGGGCGACCCCAGCGATAAGCGATAAATGAAAGTCTGCCTCGCGATCGCGGCGACGTCGCATCTGCGGCCGCGGCGAAAGCCGCGGGTTTCAGCGGAAGCGCGCAATGATTGACGAAAAGGTGGAAGTAAACAGTGCGCATACAACTTGAAACAGCAATCTATCTTGCCGATCCAGCTGGGCGCGCCGAGCGACGTGGCGCGGGCTTCCCTGGGAACCCCAGTGAACCCAACAGCTTTCCACGTTTGAGGTGCCTCGGTACATGTGCCCGCGCGTCGATTGCGGTGGTGGTGCCACAAGCCCAGCAGGGTGCACGGGACTTCCTGGTAAATTTCAGGCGGCGCTCAGTCGATGCCTGCTGAAGTGTCATCTTCAACCGCGCCCTCGGAGTCAAGACTGCAAATGCCGTGGGCCCTGGGGGGCGGATTGCATCCAAAATCAGCGCCCAGACAGTTGATCCGCCGCTGTTGCTCTGGCGCCCCATCGCAGTGATCTCCGTGGTGGCGCCGCCCAACGCGCCTGACTTCGCGCCTCCACTCTTCCCGGCCAACCGATGCCCTGCCGTCGATGTGAAGAACGCGCGGTGACGGACCCGTCGAAACTCCTGAACAGAATCTTGCAATGCGTCTGGAATGCTTCAATTCCGTAGCCTTCCGCCTTTCCCGCCCCAATGCGATGGCGGCCCCCCGTCGCCTGTCGGGGGGCGCCTTCGCGACTTCTTTACGGGCTGCATTGGCGGGCTGGTTCCTGGGCTCCCTCTCCAGTCGTCGCCTGCCACTCCCCGTGGAAAATTGAACTTCCCGCGCGCGCTGCTGCGCGCTAGCCTGCAGGGGAACCAGATCCGAATGGCGATATCGAAGCGCCTGTCTTTCGGACAAGGCTGGGTCCGACGGGCTGGCGGGCGGCCAGCCAACAAGCGTCTCGGCCCGCGGTGGCAAGACGACCGCGCTCTCAGGAACGTGCAATTCGCCAACCGCGGGGCGGTGATCGGACATGGCGAGCAATCGGTGGCTGATGCTCCGCGCGAATGCCGGCCCGAGACACCGAGAAACCATCGTGAAATCCATCTGCGCTGGGCGAAATCCTCCCCTCTGCCATCCGTGTCCGTCGTCTTGCGAATGCAGCGCTGTCCTCGACGTTCGGCTTTCCCTCGCCGATGATAGCAGTCTCGACGCCTAGCGCCGCGCCTGTCCTCGCCCCCGCCGCAATCGCCCCAGAATAGTTCAAAGCCCTGAGCCCCGAAGCTTCCATCCAAGAGATCGCCGCCCGGATTTTCAAAGCAGCATGAGATGAACGAGGCCGCGAGGTAGCGTCGCCAGAGACCCTCTCGATGTTCGCGGGCAAGCTGATATTGGCATCGACCCCTAAGATAAGGTTGAAGACTACGGCGGGGTGCGAAAACCTCAGCTTACCAGTCTCCTGGAAGACGGCGTCGGCGCGGCCGCCCCCGCCGAGGCGGTCTACAGATGTGAGCCGGCAGGAATGTACAATTGCCCAGTACTGCCCCGCACCAATACTCACCGAAGTCAGCATCTCTTACGCCCGGCGTCCAACGCCCAGGAATAACGAGGCCGCAATCACAACCTCCCTTGGCAACCACAGTATGGCCAGAATACGCGCCATGATTTATGTCGCCCCCAAGTTGGGACCTCCTGGAACGGACCTACACGCCCCCAAAAAGGTGCGCGAAGTCGGCGGCAGATCCCGCCAACAGAGAGTCGACTCTTTTCGCAGTTGCTCCAAGATACTACATTGAATTCCCGAGCCCCCTGATCCCCTCCAAGACGCTCTCAACCGGAAGCCAACGAACTCGGACTCTACTGCGGCAGCCGTGACCGTGTTGCCGTCAACCGCCCGCGCCCCCTTCAACCCCCATTTGATGGGCGCGTCCTCAGTCGCGGAGCCCACCGCTGCCTCCCCCTGCTGGCCCTTGACGCATAGCGTGAAATCTGGGCCCCAAGAACAACGGGCCTCGCCAGGCAATCCGCCTGCCCTCATCTAGCTCATGAGTAAAGCCTTGACCTTGCCGCGCTCGGCGAACCTTTTGGTGTCCTCTGGCGTCCGCTCGGCTGTGGTGTAGAGAACGTTCTCGTTGAATCTCAGGTCAGGGTCTGAAGTGGGCTCAGCCTTGAAAACAGGAACGACTTCCACAGCAACTGGGGGCGTGACGTAGACGCGAGCCCTGTGCGCCTTAGGCCCGAATATCTCCAGCTCGCCAATCTTGTCGAGTAGGGTCGGACGGAGGCCGACCTTCAGTTTCTCAATAGGAGCCTCGGCCTGCGGGCGATCGATGCCCTTCGCGCGGCGCTCGGAACGTTGGCATTTTTTGATGTCGATGAAGGTGGGAACGAACTTCTGGGATTGTCCTGAAAATTGCGACTCCAGTTCGGACAAACGCTTGCCGTGTTCACATCAACGGTCGTCTCCAGTTTCTCGACCTTCGCCATCACAGGGACCAATTTGTTATCCAGCATTTGCGACATACCCTCCACGGTAACCTGGGTCATTTTGGATACACAGGCGGTGTGGGAGGAAACCGACACCGGGAAACATCGCCTCGATAGGAACTGGGGTTCCTTGTGCCAAAACAGATTGAGCCAAAATGGCTTGAGCCAAAGTGGCTCGAAAGTGGCGACAGCGTTGCAGATCGCAGCCTCCCAGGGACGTCGAAGTCCCTCTCAGGACTGCGCGGTGCCTCGCTCCACTGGGCCCACCAGCAGCCCTCGAAAATGGCGACCCTGTCGTAAATCGCAGCCCCCCAGGGACGGCGAGGTCCCGCTCAGGTCTGCGCGGTGCCCCACTCAGCTGGACCCACCAGCAACCCTCGAAAGTGGCGACAACGTGGCAGATCGCAGCCCCCCAGGGACGGCGAAGTCCTCGACAATTGCGGCAGGCAGAGAGAGAGAGAGAGAGAGAGAAAGAGAGAAAAAAAAAGAAGAGAGAAAGAGAGAGAGAGGGAGAAAGAAAGCAAGAGAGAAAGAGAGAAACAGAGAAAGGAAGAGAGAGAGAGAGAGAGAGAGAAAGCGGCGAGAGGCAATAGGCGGGAGGAGGAGGAGTAGGAGAAGGAGATGCGATCGCTGTGCTCTATTCCAAACGAATACCCAACCAACGAGGCGTGGGACAAAAAGGGAAAGTGCCTGGGCTGTGGGTAAAAGGTTCTCTGGATACAGGCCACGGTCGGTCGGGATGCTTCTCGGGATCTTCGTGCAAACGTAAGCAGGTGGTGAGTTTGAAATAGCAAGGGATTTACGTGTTTGAAGTCATGGGATCATGGGATCTCGATTTCTACGGTGGTCTCAGAGGCAGCCAAAAGGACGCGAAGACGACCCAAGAGAGTGCCAAGACAGCGACAGAGAGTCCAACAGTATTACCGAACCATCTTTGCATGTGACTCCGAAGTCTTGATGGGGCTCGAGGAAGAGGATCGGGAGTATGAGTCCCAACTTCCAAAAAGGGAATCTCTGGAATTTCATTTTTTTCAAGTTCCTCGGCCTTGGAGCGTTGGAAGCGGGAAAACGTGAGAAGGCGAAACACGTAGACAAAAAGAATTGTAAATCAACGATGTTACCCTCTTCGGGCTCTCTTGGGACGGCTCTCGAAACTCTCTTGGGCTGTCTGTGGGGAGTCCTCGGGGCTTCTGTGGGGCCTCTCAAGGGTCTGGGGTGTGCTGGAGGCCTCTGGGGATCCCGGAGTCCCCTTGGAGGTCTCTGAAGGCCTCCTGCTCCCGCTCTGGGGCTCATCTTGGGCCTGTTCTGGGGTGGTCTGGAGCTGTCCTGGGCGCCTCGTCGGCAGTCTTAGGGCCGTCTTGGCCCGTCTTGGAGCCGTCTCGGGAGCCTCTTGGGCGGCTTTGGGCCGGTCTTGGGGGCCTCTTCGGCCGTGTTGGAGCGTTGGAAGCATGAAATTGTGAGAAGGCCACAAACCATTGAGCAAAAACAATGAAAATTAATGATCTCAGGTTCTCCGGGCGCTTTCGGGAGGCCTGTCGGAGCTCTCGTGAGGTCTCTTGGAGGCCTCCTGGGAGCCTGGAGAGCCACCCGAAAGCTATCCTGGGTTGCTTGGGAGCGTCACGGGCCGTTCTTTTACGTTATGGGGGCTTCTTGGGGTCGTCTCGGGCTGTCATTGTGCGTTTTGGGGGCTCCCCGGGAGGTCGGGAAGCGCGGTACTGGGAGCGTCCCGCAGATGTGATCGAGGTGGAGGATGCCCCAGGAGGGGGCCCGGCATATGTGTTGTTTTGTGATCTTATATATATATATATGTATATATGTATATATATATATATGTATGTATGTATGTATGTATGTATGTATGTATGTATGTATGTATGTATGTATGTATGTATGTATGTATGTATGTATGTGTGTGTATGTATGTATGTATGTATGTATGTATGTATGTATGTATGTATGTATGTATGTGTGTGTGTGTGTGTGTTGTTCGCTCTCTGAATATTGCCACACCCTGGGACCAGCTGGGCCGTCATTCGGTGCTTCTGGGGCACCATCGGGCCTGCTGTGAAAGCGTGGGGGACGGAGAATCGCTGCAGTCAATTTTCGCACGCCCCGAGACCGCAGTGAAAATCCATCTGCCAATCAACAATGCGACGGCCGCGCCGCAACCGTCGTTGATCTCTGGCGTGCACGTCTGGAGCTCGTGGTCGAGGTCCTCGAACGTGTCGCGGAGGGCCTTCTCCACATCGGCCTCTGCGGGAGAGTCCTCCTGAAAGAGGACGCCAACGTTCCACATACACCGATCCTGTCCAAGCCAAGTTTGGGCCCAACATCGGTGGATCTGCCCTCGCGACTTGCGTGGCCAATATCGGTATTCGTGGAAACTCTTGCCATGAAACATGTGGGTCTCGGGGGACACGGGTCCTGAAGGACCCGTTGAAGCTTCGCCTTAACTCCTTTCGAAACTGATCTGGGGATCTCTACCCAGGTCCACCCCGCTTATTTTCGAATTGAGCCCAACCGTGGCCAGGCCCATGAGCTCTCACAAATCCAAGCGCGAAAATAAACATTCGGGCGAAACATCTGGCGCTCAGATTTGTTCGGTGCGTGGACCCTCGGATCGCTCGAACCCTTCCGATGTTTGTTATTCATTCCGAATAATTTTGTTGCCCGCCCCGACAGCCCAAAGACCTCCAGAAGCCAGAATTGACGACAAACCGCGTTGCCTCGATCGTCGCGTTTTCTACCACATCGTGGCCCCCAAGAGGTTTGGATCCTCTCCCCGAGATTTTTCTTGACGGTCCTAGGGCCCAGCGAGGGCCTCTAAAGGCCGAACGTTGCCAATACCCTTCACGGCGCGAGGATGTATTCCGGGTGGCGCCGCCAGATCCTCTACCCTCGCCAGGCGCGCCAACAACTTCGCGTGGAAGTTGCGCGCGCAGAATTCCGCGGCCAGGGGCCCGGGCTCCCCCGCGCACGACTGTCCGTCGAAGAGAGCGTAGAGGCCCACAGGCGCCCTGTCACCGAAAACGCCTGTCCTCAGAGGGCGCAGGAAAAGCTCCTTCCTCCTTCTCCTCCTCCTGGTCATGTTCCTCCTCCTGCTCCTCCTCGTCCTCCTCCTGATTGTTCCCCTCCATCACCCTCATTCCTCATCCAAAACAACTCCCATGGGCATCGTTTATGGGTGGGCTGGTGCGGGGCTCCACGCCAGCTAGTTTTTTTATTTTGTCCGCGAAGCGGGGCACAGCGCGGCCAGGCGCGAACAGCGCGAGCGCCCACGCCGCGCAAGGATATGGAAACGAGAAGCGGGAGCACACGGCATCAACGAGGGGGCTCAGGAGGAGCAGGAGTCAAAACGGTGAACACATTCTTGGGTGACCGACGGTTTTGGAGACATACTGCCTCGGCATCGTTGGGAAACGACACGAGGATGAGGAGGGCCATTGAACATGATCGCCCGTGGATGTCGGACGATCCCGCTCGTAGCGGCTTGCGTCCCCGCTGGGGCCGTCGGAAAAATCAAGCCGACGTACGAACCTGTCAAGCACAGGCTGGCGCAGCCCCACAATGCCAGGCGCGCTGCTGCACGGCCCGCAGCTACGCAGGGGCCCAGCTCGGGAGGAGGATTGGGTGCAGCAGGACCGCCTGGGCAAAGGGAGTGTTGCCGGGCCGAGCGGGCGCATGCTGATGTTGCCTCCTGGCTTGCGAACACCAACGCTCGCGACATGAGTCGTGCTGTTGCTGACTCAAGTTGAAGAAGGGAAAGGAGAATAGAGAATGGAGGAGCCAGGCGCTCCAATGCGCGGGTTCCGTGAACTAAAACGTTGCACCGGCTTATCACGAAGCGTTCGCAACAGCGGGCGCTGCGGCGGCTAAAACTTCGCCCGCGGCCGTGCTGCGGGCATCCGCCTGCGCGCATGGAGCTCGGCCACGGTCGGTCTCATGCAGGTTCTAAGCCCGAGCATGGCGCGGAGAGGTCGCGGGGGCGGGCCCTCCGTCGCCGTCTCGCTGCAGAGGCGACAGAAGCACAAGCAATTCTCTGCGTCAAAGCGCGGGGTTCATGCAGCGCGCGCCCGCCGAGGGCGGCGGCGCCCAACAGCGCCGCCGCGCGCTCGCTACCGGTAGGCTCGGGTGGCTCACGATGGCAAGGCGCGCCGCGCGCTTGCCGCGCGGCGCGCTTGCCGGAGGTGAGCCCGCAGCGCGAGCATCTGCACTCGTGTGAGCTCGACCGGGGGGCATGTTGCAGCTTGGTTTGGCGCGGGCCGCGCGCCTGTGAGGGCCTCTCTTCCGCCCGCTGGTCGACGGCGAGCGCATCGGCGAATGCCCGTCGCGCCCATCGGCAGACGAGGGCACGCCGGGTGTCGCGCAGGTCCGGAGAGGCACCTCTCCAGGCTCTGTGCGCGGCCGCGCCAGCCCACGCGTTGCCTGGCGCGGAAATATCTGGCGGGGTCAGCGGCAAACTGGGGGCGTCCTCGCTGCGCGAGGCCACCCGAATCATCTCGAGCTTGCTGTTGCCGCGAGTGCGCATCGACTTGCCCTGCCGCTGGTTTTGTTTCGAACCATCGCTGCGGTGCAGCTGTCGGCTGGACCTCCGCCCGTCGCGCAGCGGCAAATGGTGCGCGACGAAACGCAGGTCGCCTGGCCAATTCTCGCGGGCCAGGGCAAGAGCCAGCAGCCTCGCGCGAGATGCGATTTGAAATGGGTCCTGCAACCCCGAGAGGATGCCTCCCCACGGGGCCCACTCCGCGAAGAAGCTCCCCATTGCAACGCAGGCGGCCCCCGCCCTGCGGCGACGCGGGTCGGCGCGCCGAACGGGGCGGGTGCCCCGTCGCTACCCGCGCAGCCCCCCCGCCCACGCCCAGCCCAGCTCCGCCCGCCGCCCCGCCCCAAATCAGCCAGGACAGGGCGCGCGTCGGCGCGCGCGGGCAGGCCGCGGAGCCAGCATGAATGCGAAGATTCCGCCCAAGCAAGGGCGGCCGGCAAGAGGGCGTCAGACCGCGCGCAATCCTCGCGGCCGCGACTGCCGGGGCACAGCCAGATCTCGCGCATCTGGATCCCGCCCGCATCTCCGCAGCGGGGGCGTCGCGCCCGAGCCTGGCGGCCCGCTTCGACCGGGCGCGTCCGCGGTCGCTGGGCCCCTGCGCGACGCAGGGGCCGAGGGCTCACTGGTCGAACTGGGCCTTCTTCGTGAACCTCTCCATCTCGCGGCCGATGGCGCGCGCGTTGGGGCCACCTCGCGGCGCCCCATTCACGAGCAGGTGCTTGGCCGCGGCTCCCCGCAGCCCCGTCTCGAATGGCAGGACTCGCGGGCGCACTCCGATGGGTCGACCTCGTTGTGCTTGGCCCCCCATTCGGCTCGGCCCTTGCGAGGTAAAGGCCTCGTCTGCTCTGCCGGCCCGCCTTCGCGAGGCGCGCGCGACCGCTCGTGCGGGGGCGGGCAGCTCCAGCGCGCGTCCGGCACCATGGTCTGGATCGCGGAGATGGAGCCCGCGACCTCGCGCCGCCTCCTGTTCCCGAGGCCGATGATCCCCATCGTGGGCGAGCTTCCTAGCCTGGGCGAGGCGCGCGTGGCAGCGGGGGTTCTGGCACCACGAAGTGAGCCGCTCTGCGATGGGCTGGCGCCTGAGCTCGATGGCGGGGCCCTTCTGGCCGAGGACCGCGGCGAGGGCGGTAGTGGGGCACCTTCCAGGAACCTCGCCCGCGGCGTCTCGAAGGGCCTGACGCCGCTGGTCCACGATGGCGGACGGAGCGAGCCCCGTGATCTGGCGACCGTAGGTGCCCTGCGATCTGGGCCCTGTGGCCCATGGCCCCTTCGCGAAGATGGCGAGCGACGCGCGCCCCCCTATCTAATGGATGATGCGGCTGGCGCGCCTCTTCGCCTTCTTCGCCCGCGGCAGCGACTCGGCCGCGAGCCGGCGCCCGCCCCCTGCCGCGTCGATGCCGAGGTCGAGGGAGGAACTCGCCACCTTGGCGGCGTAGCCCTTCGCCTCGAGGCCCGCGTGGGGCGCAAGCGCGATGGAGGGCCCAGATGCCGCGACTGCGGTCTCGGGGGAGACCCTGCGCTCCGCGGCGGACATCCCCTTGCATAGGGCGCGGCGACGCCGATGGGGTCGCTGATGACCTGCTCGGTCGCTTTCGGCCCTGGTCACCGCGTCGTCGACGACGGAGGCCCACGGGCCCGCGCAGGCATAATTCCGGTGCGCCCGCAACAAGATGGGGCCGGGGAAGACTCCCGCCCCTGCCTCCACGGCTGCCCCCCGCGACGATGGGCCCCCAGGGGTCGTCTGCGTCGCGCGCCCAGCCGCGCGTTCGGAGGCGCCTCGGCGAAATGGAAATCTGCGCCTCGAAGGCCACCGCCATCGGCGGGAACTGCCCCGCAAAGCCCGCCGCGGAGAAGCGCGAAGCTGACCGAGACGTAGAACTCTCTGCACCCATGAGGTGCGTCGCAAAGGCCGCTGCCGTTTCGTCCAGTATCGAAATGATCGACGCTGCCCACAGCGCGGTGGGCCGCTTGCTGGCGGCGCCCCAGACATCCCCGAGCTCCTTGGGCGGCTGTTCTGCAATGGTGGGTCCGGTATTGCCCGGCACCTTCGGGGTGGCGGGGGGCTTGCCGATGGCGCGCGCACCCCCTGCTGGCTTGGGGGCCACTGCCCAAACGGTGGCGCAGAGCTGCTGCGGCCGCGGCCTGTGGTCCTCCACTTCGTTTTCGACGTTGGCGAGCTGCTTGATGCCCTGGCGCGGGGGCCCCCGCGCGTCGACGACGCCGGCGCTGTCGACGCCCATGGCCTTCTTGGGGTTGGCGGTGTTGACGACGGCGAAGATGTGGTGCGCCTCGATGGGGGGGGGGGCTCCTCCTTGGCGAGGCGCACAATGTTCTCGCACGCGGCGATGGTCTGCTTCTGGTCGTGGGAGTTGGTCTTCCAGATCTCTTCCGGTTGACGGCCGCGGCGTCCACGGCGAGGGAGGGGGCCCCGTCTGCAGCGCAGCCCCGCGCGGTCTCCAGTCGCTGCATGCGGGGGTCGGCGACGGTGCTGGGTAGCTTGCCGGGCGCCTCCTTCCATTCCTGCTTGGCCCAATCGAGGTAGCGCTTGCGCGCTCTGCCTGCAGCTCTCGCCATCGCTCTACCGACCCATCTCCGGGTCGCCTCGCAAAGGTGGCGGAGGCGATCCGGAGCTTCCACTCGTCTTTCCCCTGCGGGTCGGTCTTGGAGCCGAATAGTGATTTAGGGGATCTGGGTTCTCGAGCTGGTCGGTCTCCTGGTTCGCGAAGCTGCGGGTCTGCCCCTGGGCCTCGCCGTCCTCCTGTTTCTTGGCGAGGGCGGTGCAGCGCGTGATGGGGGTGCTGAACTGCTGCCGACAGGCCGCCTCTGGGCCCTCTGGGTGAGCGCGTCCAGGCGAGGCCGTCCTTATCTGCTTCGCCGTCTTGCGCCCCTCGGCCCCCCCTTCGCACCTGGCCCCTCCTCATCGGGGATGTTGAGGGTCTCCAGGAACGCGACCTCGAGGGTCGCCACCCAATTGGCACGGGCGCCGTTCATCTCCGCGGCCCTGCTAAGCAAGCGCCGGTGGAAGGCGTGCCTCTGCCCTCCGTGGCGCCCGCGAGGTGGGCCTGGAACCTCGGGCAGTTGCCCGCTGCTTCTTCGGCCTCGCCCCCTGTGTCGTCCTTGATGATGAAGGGCGCGGGGTCAGGATCCAAGCCGCCCTTCTCGGGGCTGCGGGCGGCGACGAACTCGGCCGGGTAACCTGCCCCTCCTGGTTGGCGAGGCCTCTGCCCAAGCCTGCGACATTTTGCTGTCAGGGTCGGAGGCCAGTCTTGGCCTGGCCGCTTTGTAATTCCAGGGCTCGGCGGCGCCCGCGGCGGCCCGGGCGGCGCAGCGGGTCTTCCGCATGGCCTTCTCGGACTGCTTTCGCATCGCGAGATTGCGCGGGCGCGGGCGGGGCCCCAAGTCCGCTCGCGAGATGGCGCAGTCGCAGAAGGCGCCCGAGCCCTTGCCGCGCATGGCCTTGCACTCCCAGGTCGGCGAGTATGGCGCCGCCCCACTTGGCGGGCCGCGGCTTGCCGCCCCGCCCGCGCGGCTCGCATTTTCCAGCCGGCCAGAAGGATTATGGGCCCTCGCCCTGGTCGCGAAGTCTAGGCCGCAGGCGCGCCGCGACAACCGCGATGCGGCAGCTCTTCGCGCGCGGGGTGGGGGGCGTGAAGCCCGCGAGCGGTTGCCTCTTGTGGCGCTCGAGGTAGCAATCCCCGTAGGCCTCGAAAGCGGCGGCTGCGATGTCCTTTCGCGAGACAGTCCACTCGCCACCGTGCGCCCCCGTGTCCGACTGGTGGGTCGGCGTGGCCGACGCGGTTGCGAGCTTCCAGCCGTCCGCGGCGAGCTTCCCGACGTGGTCCTGGATGCCCTGCGCGTCCGCGCGGGTCTCCGCGAGCGCGATGAGGTGGCGGCCGCGGCCGATGGCGCGGCAGTACTTGGCGGCCTGCGGCCCCCGTTCGGCGATGTTGCCGAAGTGGATCTGGGCCTTGGCGCCCTTGCTGATCTGGTTGCCCGGGCTGCTGCGACCCCGCCGCGGATGCGGCGGGCTGCTGCTTGGCGTCGCCCAGGCCTCTGCCCCCCTTGGCTTCGCGCGCCGTTTCGCTGGCGCCCTCGAGGCGGCCCCCGCGAAGGCGGCGGCAGCATTTCTATCAGCTTGGGACGTTAGCGGCTGCGGGTGGTGGCTCGGGTAGTTGCGGCCCCTGCCGTTGCCGCCCCCTTATTTTGTTGGGGGGCCGCCAGCGGCTGGCGCCGCCGCTGGCTGGTCACCGGCGGCGGCGCCCTTGCGCTCGGCGCGGTTGTTCGCAGACTCCTTGGCCTCGCGCGTGGCCTCCTGAGCCTGACTTCGACGACCCTCTGAAACCCCCGGCTGATGCGACGATCAGGGAGAAAAGCTGATGCGCTACTGCCGGCCCGTCCGGGCCGCGGGGGTCCTGCTCCGGCCTCGCAGCGCTCGCCGGGTAGATGTCCGTGTGGTCGCGCCAATGCTCTGGATTCCCTTCTCCGAGGGACCCCACTCGTCGTCGAAGAAATGCTCTACCCAGATGTCTTTCTCATTTCTGAACTGGCAACGCGCGGTGCGCTTCGTGCCCAGCTGGTCGAGCGTAGTGGGAAGATCCGACAGGTTTCTGGGGTTGATCAGCTGCCTCCTCGGCCTCGCGTGGTGAGTTCTGATTCCGTCGGGCTTCACTTCCCAAAACTCCTCTCTCTGTTCCTCGTGATAGGTCCTCGCATCTCCAGAGTCCTCCACGTTCTTGCCAAAACTGGGAAATCGCGCCTCCAGGTCCGGATGAAACTTGAAATCGTCGCTCGGCTTCCCCGCGAGACAGATCGACCGGTGACCGGGCGGGGGCTTCATCATCAAGATCCTCGACGCATCGTCGTCTCCGAACTGTGCTGCGTGTTCCTTCGCGTTGATCATTGCCCCTAGGAAAGCAAGCGAATAGGCAGGAATGAGAGGAGGACGCAGATGCGGTGACACCATAAAGTTCCAAGATACCGCAACGGTGAAACGACAGGGGCACAGCTGCACGAGCCACAGGGCGAACACGACCTCCACCCCGTACGCGAACGGCAGATCAGACTCGTATTTGACGTGAGTGACATACCCCTTCTTCTCTAAGGCCGCCTTCATGTTCCTTAGATCTGGCCCCCCGATTAATGCCTGTGCGGCCGCGGCATCAATTAGCCCGTGGTCTTCCATCTCTCTATGCTGGACCCCTGAAAACTCCCCTGGCTCAGACCTCGTCTGCTCTAGAAAGGTCGCCCAGTTCTGCGAGGAGCTCCCGCGTGCATCGAACGAAAAGAAATATCCATCACTGGAGCTGAATGATGGCTTGGCCTGCCACGCCGTCCCGGAAGAGGAACCACCGCCCTCTGACCAGATGCGATTAGTCTTGGAGCGATATGGTTTCTTACAGTCCCCCCGCCAATGTCCTTTCTCACCGCAGTTCGTGCATATGGTCCGACGTTGGAGGCCTTCTTTGCTGATTCGTATTTGTCCAGTCCCGGAGGCGCGCTTTCTGTCGAAGAACTCCCGGTCGACTTTGCAGGCTGCCTTTAGCTGTCTGGGCTCTCGCCACATGCGCTTCTTCTTGTTGTCGGCCGTTTCTGCGAACACCTGAACAGCTTCATCTTCATAGACATCCTGGGACCCAAGACTCGTGAGAAACACTGCAATTTCTTCCTCGGAAAACTGAACCTCGAAAGTGTTGATTTCTTCGTCGCGGTCGGGGGTCTCATGCTGCTCGGTCACGAAACTCTTTCTCCCGGAGACATGCGGTATTGGAAGAACCGCCTTGTCGGTAACGGCAAGCTTTAGCAGAAAACTCCACACGGATCGTTTCGACATGTCACTGCCCGTCAGGGTTCTGAGGTATACCTTCGTCTGGCCCGTCAACTGCGACCCTTCTTCCAGAAACCTCGCAAACACTGGATCTAGGAGGTCCAAGCCGAACGTCTGGGGACGAGAAAGCTGGGCATCCCTTCTGATCACGAATTCTGTCAGGGTCTCTCTTTTCCGTATAGTATGATCGAACCGAGCGGCGTGATGAGCTTCGGGCTCTTGGTCCACAGGTCTTTCTCCGCTCAACAGTTTCAGGTGATGTATCAGAACCTGGATCCCGGACTCGCCGTCTAATTGCTCTCGGATTCCTCGAAACTTCTCCTGGAATTCCACTGGATCGGATTCCAGCACCTTCGCCGCCTGGGTCCCAGGGAGGACGCCGGTCCTCTTAGACCACGAAACCAGGCTTAGCAAGTACACTTCTACATGTTCCATTCCCAAGAACTGAAGAAGAGCAGAGCAATCACGGCTGCTCTCCGTCACACCTTTAGCTTCACTCCGACCCAATGTCCAGTCGCCCGGCATCCACCACGAGGCACTGACACACCAGCTTTCCCACCAAGGGTCACCACACTCGTACTCGTCTTTCTCGTTGGGCGGTCTCTCTTCCTCTTCCTGTTGCTGTGCTCCTTCTGCGCCTTCCCCAGTCGCAGACACGAATGTACCTGGCTCGTCTCCCTGAGCGGCTGCGGCGGCGACTGCAGCCTGCCTCCTTCTCCCTGGGTCCACGCTCCGGCTACCATTGAAATGAGGATCGGGAAAAGGGGGTGGGCATCAGTTTCTCCGTGCAGCGCGCCCGAGAAAAGGCCAGGACTCCTGTGTCCGTCGCATGGCGGACGCCAAGCCTAAAAGGCTATGACAGACACATAGAGGGAGGAGGGGAGGGACACGACATCAGAAAGCTGAAGGCGACGTTACAACAGAAAACTGGAGCCAACAACGAAACCGAATCCGAAACCGAACGCGGATCGAGAGAATGCAGCTGAACAAGGGCGCAGCGGACTAACAATCACACAAGCGCTACCGACCGCGGCGCCGCCGAACCGACCGCACCGCGGACGCCCTTGGCGCCCCAAGACGCCCGAAGCACGCCGGCCCGTGCTGCGCGCAGCAGAGGTGGCCGCCAAAACGTCGCATCGGGGGCCGGGCGTGACTGCCGTGAGGCAGGGGTTCGGGTGACGCCCGCATCCGTCTCCGCGTCGGGCCACTCCCCCACCAAGTGTCTGGTACAGGAGGGGCCTGGCCTCGACGCGCGAGGCTAGCGCGACATGGCGTGCTCACTCACGGCTTCTGCGGGGGCCGCTCTGGCATCTTTCCCCCGAACTTTGACCACCTTCCGTCCCGTACTCCTCCGTCCCCCCTTCGTGTTTCGTCCCTCTTTCTTCTTCCTCCTTTCTTTCTCCTCCTTCTCCTCCCTCCTCCTCCTCCTCCTCCTCCTACCCCTCCTTCTTCTCCTCCTTCTTCCTCCTCCTCACCCTTGTTGAATCTGTCACTTGGTCATACTCATACTCATGCTCCTCCTCCTCCTCACCCCATCATCGCCCTGATCCTCCCTCCCTGCCTCCTTCCCTCCCGCCCGTTGCCTTCCAGCTGTGCCAGGCTCCGCTGTTCCTCTCTCCTGTGATGGGCACCCCTCCTACCATGCCATACAGAGACCCGCCTCTGGCGACCTCACTTGGATGCAGCGCCTCGCCCGTGTCGGTGTTAGGAGGATGCCAAACATTCACCTACATGATGGGCAACGGAAGGGGGGACTAGCTGGGGGGGAAGCTTCGAGCAGGAATCGGCGATACATCGCTGATACATTGGCGATATGCTCCCGATAGCGAAACCGCGCAGTCCTGGGCGGGGTGGGCTATCGGGTCCCTATCAGAGATGAATGGGCGATTGGGGGGAGATGTATCCCCCCCCTGAGTCTAACCCCCACTGGCGCTGCCCCCGACTACACCGACCCTGGTCGGGCCCACCCAAGATCGACCTGGCCAAGAACGCCCTGGCCAATCGATGCATGCGTATATTTGACGTTCCCCAGAATGTGCTGTTGACGATTCCCAGCGTCCTCGGCAGCGGCGAATTCGTGCGCTTCGCTATCATGGCGAGGTCCTTGACCAACACATGCCTCACCAAGGGCTTCTGCTTGCCTCCAGCTGGCCCGCCGAGGGAGACGGCGTCCACCAGCACGTTCGGCGCATCGGGAGGCCTGTTGTCGACTGCCTGTGGAGCACTGATGCAGGAGCGGGGTTGAGGGCAGAGCGGGCGGAGGATTGGACTTTAGTTCAGTTTAGTTGGCCCGCAGGAATCTCGACAGCAAGCACATGTCGTGTACCACGCCGCCTCGGGGCGTCGCTTTGGCCATGCTCGAAGGGCCAAGCTATACCCAACGACGAGGGCGCACCCCAAAACAAGCACCGACGCCCCAGACCTGTGATGTGTCCGCGCTGGTACAGGTATGAAGACTACCTTTCGTTTGCACGGCAAAGTGTAAGCAAAAACTGGATTTGTTGGGAGATCTTGGATGTTCTTTGCAAGTTCCTGGAAGAGACCGCAGAGGGTGCAATGATGGGAAAAGGGAGGGCGCGGAGGGGAATGACGGTCGGACAGCAGGGGAGGTCGGGAGAAAAGGAACGAGGAAGAGGAGGTGGGCGGTGGTGCGGGAGGTTGGGGGGATGCACGTTAGCACGGCCGCAAGGGAGAGCGGACTGGCGCTTCTATAATTGTTCCTCCCCGGGCCATCAAGGGCTGGTTGATGGGCATGTTATTCCTGCCGTGAGCAATCCAAAAGCTTTCCCCCCAAATGCCACATCGATCGACTTGGTTGCACACGAGATCAATCGGTTCGAGCCCAGCCCAAGCCGGAGAGCAGTCGTCCTCGCGGACTGGCGGAATCGGAGCCGATCTGTGCCACGAACGAACGTCGGACCGCGCAGCCGTCGGATCGATGTGGCCGCGGGCGGTCCCCCATGTCCTGTAGGGGGCCATGAGCTCCCTGGCCTTGTGGAGCGGCAGCTCGACGTTGAGAGCAGAGGAAAGGAAAACGGCACAAACACAAACTCTCGAAGATCGGCGCAGATCCCTTGGATCTCGGCTGGACCCCCCCTCCCTAGCGCGCTGAGCGCGCCAAGGACGACGGCGGAGGCGCCGCCAGGTGATTCCAGCGCATATCCAAGAAATCCGCGCGGACCTCCGAATGTCTATATGTATGCAATTTTCTCTTCTTCAGGATAGCCATGGCTGCCCTGTGGCCGAAGCCGCCCGCCCGCCCGCCCGCCCCCCACCCGTCCGCCTGCGCGCAAGGCGCGGGCAACCCCGCGCGGTGCACCCCTCGAGCGCGAGCGGCTGCGCACATCGCAGGTCCTGCCGTCGGCGTGTGCCAATCCCAGGGGGCATCGGGAGGGAACGGGCGGCGGCGTCGCTTCTCCACCGAGCTGCGGCATAACAGACCCGGGTGCACGGACAACGGGGGCCAGGAAGAGGGAAGTTAGTAGTTAGTGCAGCGTGGTCCGAGGAGACGAGGAGGGGCAAGGACACGTGCGGCGAGAAGAAGAAGCCATGGCATTGGAGAGATTGTATGGCCCTGGCCGTGATACCCACTAATCCTGACCCCCTCTGGACGCCCCCGACAGACATCCCGCCTGCACTGCAGGCTGCCTGCTGGGGGAGGTCAAGAGGACAGAACAGATCGGAATGCCGATGTGGGCGATATCCCAAGCCTCGTGGGGGCGGAACGGGTGAGGCCATGGCCTCACCGTCGGACACTTGGCACTCCCGAAAATGGGGATAGACAGTTTGGGACGACGCCCAACACTGCATGCTTGGCACGAGCAGTAGCGGCCGTTGTTGGGCAGGCGATGTCTGTCTCAAGTGGACGACGCCCTCGGCGACACCGACAACACATCCTGTTCAAAATTTGCACGGGCGGCTGTCGGTCTCCGTCGCGGCTCTCTCCGCCCCCATTTCGGTGCTCCTGAGATGAGTGCATCAGATCTGGCCACGCCAGTGACGATCTGGAACAACGACCACGAAACACGATCATGAATGGAAATGGTCCTGAAGGAAGCGGGGCCTGGATCCTGGGGGCAATCCTCCCGACCAACTTTTCATTCCGAGAAGTTCTTTAACAGTCCTGGACTCTGGGATGGGTCCCGAAAGGCCGACCCCTTTCCCTGAAGACCCCTGGACACAGAAGAATCGAAACGGATGTCCCGACACATCCCTGAGCCCGTCCTGGCTACAGTCAAGCTGCTCGGGCGCTAGAGGAACAACCATGGAAGGATCGACAGGACAAGGCCCCCCTTCCGAACCCCGAGGCCCACTACTTTATAAGGTATTAGCTGTAGCTGTTTTAGCGGCGTCCAGCCCTGGCCACGAGCCCCCCCCCACACACAAAACCGAACTCAAAGTGGGCACGGCCTGCGTCTGGTCCTCGTTCCCGCTCTCTCCGTTCACATCTCTGCATTCTTGAAATGATGGGGATCGGATGTGCTCATGGGAGCGAAGATGTGAAACAACGACCGCAAACCATCGCCATGAAATAACAATCCCGAACGCGTTTGGGAAACGTGCCCTAGAAACGGGGGCGCTCCCCAGGACGAGTTCTTTAGCCACCTGAATGGTGTTCTTGATGGCCGTGGAGCCCGTGGAGGGCCCCGAGAGACCGAAACCCGCGGAACAATTCCAGGACTCCTTTTTCTCCAGTACCCTCTCATCCTCGCCAGCAGATGCCCCCGACAGCGATGCGAAGCGTACAGCCTTGTGCAGACTGTGCAGGGGCGGCTAGAGGGGGAGAGCGTATCGTCAATATCGGAGGCCTGTCGCCGCCGAAGCACCCAAAGGAACTCACGAGGGAGGTCTCCTGCCAGGAGTGCAAGAGGGCAGGCAAGCAAGGCCGCGCGGTGACCGGACGGCCAGACGCCCGTCAAGGCGGAGAGGTGCTGAATCCTGGAATCAGGGGGAAATGCTCAGCCTGTGAGGATCGGCATCAGCACATCGATGAGCGGTGCTGCAACATCAGGCCAGAACCACCAGCCTGCGAGGATTGGCAACATCACATCGTTGAAAGGCGCTGTAGCCTGCCCCTGGAGGAGCAGAATAAAGGAGAGGAGGGACTGCTGGCGTAGGCATGACAGGCTGCGGCTTCTTGCTTGCGGGAAGAGAGGACGAGGAAGCTGCTGCTGCTGCTGATGATGCTGATGCTGATGCTGATGCTGATGATGCTGATGATGACGATGTTGATGAAAATTCTGTCCATGGAGAGTGCGCTGTGCACAGCTCCCACACGGGCCGCGCCACGCGAGGCCAACCCACGCTGCGATCCTGGCAAGCTCCTGCGCCATGGACGGGAGCCAACTTCACCGACCTCTTCGGCCCGAGGCGGGAACGAACCTCGCCATCCCAGCGGACCTCGAGCGGCGCTGGCAGCTTGCCGGCGGCGGCAAAGAAGCCTGCCGGGCGGCAAGCCTGCCTGGCTCCTGCGGCGTTGCCGCGACGGGCCTCGCGACCGGCTCGGTGAGCGGTGCGAGCGGCCCTGGCTGTCTCGCACGCTTCCTCGAGCTGGCGCGATGAGCTCCTCGGCCTCGGGCGCCCTTGCAGCGCCACGGGCACGCCGAGCCAGCCCGAGGCCGTCGGGTGCAGCACACGCCGCAATGACGGTGATGATCCCGCTGAGATCGGGCAAGCTCCAGGACCTCCGAGGGTGAAGGGGCGTATTTACGCGGGGCATGACGATAATGACGCGGAAGAGAAGAAGGAGGATGCTCGATTGAGGGTGGTCGAGGATTGAGAAAACCAGGTCAAGTCCAATCTGGAGGCCTGGGTCGGTCTCTGGGCCTCGGGACTCTGCGCCTGGACAGCACCCACCTTCTCAAGGAGGACTCAGAACAGCACTCTCGGGAGGGAAACACCTGGGCTGTCTCCGTCGCTTCCACGCCATACCAAGTTCTACCAACCGCTGGCCCTTCTTCGTTCGAACCACCTGGCGGCTAGTTTGGTAGATTGGCAGCGGGGGGGCCCAAAAGCGGAGGTACACGTCCCCCCGTTGAATATTGCTGCGCGTCACTGGGCAAGGAAGCATTGAGGGAGCTGGCAACACACTTAGTATCCGAAAGGAGGGGAAGATATGGCAACGGAAGAGACAGACAATACTGATCGTAGACGGGACGACCTGAGATAGCTCGGATTAGCCAGCGCGGAACGACAGACCTTGTGTCATCTCCCCTCTCATTCACCAACAAGCTATGCACACACATGCTCTTCAATTGCCTGCAGGGGCAATTCACACCGTGAGTGATTGACATCGTAAACCATCCAACCCTGTACGTACCCCCGGGTGGCCGCGTCTGTGCGGGGAGAGACGGCAATGAGCAACTGAGATACTTGGCGTCCTGGCGCAATTCCAGCGCTGTGAGCAGCAAGTTGTGGTCCTGATGACGCCGAAGGGGGCGCACACTCTATGCCATTTGGTATGCTTGTATCTTCTCTACTTGTGTACGTGTGCGTGGTGTGAAATGCCTGTCACGCAGTAACTACATGGTTAACGGCGGGCTGCCCAACATGACACGATGTCCCTCCTTGTCCTCCCCCTCCCTCCATCCTCACTCTCTTCATCCTTTTCCATCACTTCGCGTACCTTACTGCTCTTCAATTCTCAACTGCATCAAGCGTTTTGACGCGTTGGGCAAAAGTGGTACCATATCAAACACCTACAGAGTCCGTTGCCACCAGGATGCCAACACACAACAAACGGCACGCGTAGCAACAACAAATGGAACTATTACACCGACTCTGCAAATGCAGACACAGCGGCGCTTGATCTCAGCCCCGACCTTCCCCTCCATGCTCCCATCCCCTCCCTCCTTGGCCTTCTATCCAAGAAAGAAGCGTCTGCACAGACATGCAACTTTCGGAGGTTCGCGCGGACGATCGGCACTGGATCCCTCTCCATGGCGCGCGGAGCGCGCCAGAGGCACCGCCTGGGGGTTCCAATGCCGATCCAAGAAATCCGAGTGGACCTCCAGGAGTTTGGCTGGCGCGGTTTTCTTCTTCGGGCATTGCCCCCTGCCATCACTCCCTGCCCTCCAATCCTCGCCTGTCCTCCGCCCGCCACCTACCCACCCCTGTCCCACACTGCCCTCCTACGTAAGTATCCCCCCTTGTCCCTCACTCCCTTCCTGCCCTTCCTCCTGTCCTCTCCTCCCCTTCCTGGCACATCACACCCTCCTAGCTGCTCTTGTTCGAGCACCCCCAGCCTCCCCGTCGTCATCCTCCTCGGGCAAGGGTGGGAGGGGGGATGGCGGGGGCGGGCCGCCCCGCCGCCCCGTCCGCGAGGAAAGCGGCGCACTGCCCGAGCCGCTCCAGGAAGCTGGCGGGCAGCCAGAGATGCTTTTTATTGAATCGCTTCGCTCATTCCGCCGGCCCATATGGCCAGCATCACTGGTGCTACGTGTTTGCGTGACCTCTTTGGGGCCGCCGGGGGGCCTCTTGGGGGCCTCTTGCTGGGTTCCCTTGGGGGCTGTAAGCGGCCTCTTGGAGCCTCTTGGGGGGCTCGGGGGGGCGTCTTGGGGCCTCCTGGGCGCCTCTTGGGGCCGAGGGCTCGAAACGTCTGTTCGGGTTTCCTGCCTGGCCCCCTCTTGGGGCCGTCCTGGGGATATCTTGGGCCGTCTTGGAGGCCTCTTGGGCCGTCTTGGAGACCTCTTGGGCCCTCTTGGGGCTCTCTTGGAGGCCTCTTGGGCCGTCTTGGGGCGATAAGTGGGGCCTCTTGGGGTCTAGGAAAATCGATGGTGTTTGCCACCTGGAGCCCTCTTGAGACGCTTCTTCGAGGCCTCATTGGGCGTCTTGGAAGCCTCTGGGGACCAAGGGCTCGAAATGTCCGTTC